AGTACAAAGAGCTGAATAGGAAATGAAAAGTAGTTCACTGAGTAGAAAATGAAAAATAGCTCATTACCGATAAACTTACTTAAAAAGTTTGAAGATCTCAGTATCATAGCGATTAATATTGAGATCGTTTAATAAAACCGTTTTGATTTTCTTTTGGAAGTTTTCTTTTGGATAAACTCCTAATGAAAGGTGGTATTTGATTCCATAGACGTGCATATTTCTTAACAAGCCATGGAGATTCCTTCAATCAAGAACAAGAAAATTACCATATAGAAGCCAAAAAAGCCCGGTCTGTTATATCATTTTAATATCATCATGAACGCTTGCGGCATAAAGACGTTTTAGAATAATATCAATCTGTCTATGTAGCGGGTATATAGTACATATTCTTATCTATATAGCGGGTTTCTCTTTCAACCGAATAGTAACAATCTTTCTTTCGGACATGGGTTTCCTGTGGTCTTGAATTGTATGCGACTCGCGACATGATATAAATAGCCTGCAAAGCAGGCGTTCTTGTGGGTTTGGGGAAAAACTGGGGTTTTGGGGGAACTTTGGAACGAGCGAGAATTGAAACCGAGCAAAAAGGAAGCGAAGGGGGAGGGGGCGGGAAGGGGAAGAAGGGAACGCCTGCCAGCAGCCTTTGTTATTTTGATACGCGCCTCCTAATTAGATAAGCTTGATCAAAACTCTAGCTGTCAAAAGGTGATGAATTTAACGGAAGTGAAAGACCACTTCTGATATAAACAATCAAAGGTCAAAACATTCAAAAATTTTATAGCTTTTCTATTACCACCAGCTAGTGCAAATGAAAATTATCGATTTTGTAATTGCTGTTTAAAGTAAATTTCTGAGTTCCAAGTAACCCAGGAAAACAGGGATATCTGTCATTTGAAAATTTGTTCAAGATTCTCTGCGGAATGTCCTTGCTGATATTTGAGATGAGTATAAGAAAATAAGTTAGGCCAATTGTATGATATCATCAACAGTAAAGCCGTTTGAATTTCTACCCCATCCAAGACTAAGAAAGAAGGCAAAAGATTACTGGATATATGAATAAATAAATCGAGTCTCTTGAGGAGGAGACTGATTGAAGACAACAAAGGTAACGTGTTCAAAGTCGAAACGAAAACCGCCATTGGATTCGAATAAATCTATAAATCTAAACTCTTCAGTGTCGTCCACCTTATCACGGGACAGGCCTAGTCCAAACGCACGATCGGTATATGATTGATTGCTGTCCCGTCAAAGATATTTAAGCTGAGCCAATCAGAAGCCTTCGTTAGCCCACGAACGAGTTCTTCAAAATAACAAGGGATGCTGCCGGCGTTCCCTTCTCTCCCCTCCCTCTCCACCCACGTTCCCTTTTCTTGCTAGGTCTCATTTTTCTCGCGGGCCCTTGGTCGAAACAGGAACCCCAAAACCCCAATTCTTCCTCTCAAATGCATCAAAAGAACGCCTGCTCTGCAGGCTACGACATAGATAATCCTATGACCAAATATGAGATTACGATCTTTGTTGAAGGAATGCGTTACTATAATCGTAATCCGCTATCTGGTTACAGGACTCATGTGAGCGGTGCGTGTTGGAACAGGAAAGCCATTTGCTTCAACATATTTTGTAWTGTCCCCAGAGGAGGGTGGTCAAGGCGCGTGGAGCATTGTGGGTTAAAAGTTCAATTTCGATTTATTGGCGTTTGACAGTCGTTGTGTGAACATCTCCTGGCGAGAAAGTATTATAAATGCCAAATCATGTCTCAATTTCTCACCGGTTTGGTGTGGATGTTCTTGCTGTTGGTGATTTCCTATATCTACATACCCTGCGAGCAGGGTAATATCTACACTGTGTAGACTTTCAATTTCTACATACTTGTACAGTGAAGTCTCTGCCATTTATGTCGATAGAATTAGTTGGGGGCCACGTTAGCTTCACTGGCAACTCTCGTGAACGAAGGATGGTTTTGTTTATTGACGGCCAAAAAATCCGAGACCTAAATGAGAAAAGCTGATGGGCTTGGGAAAATATTTCAACCACTTAGTGGTGTATGTATTGTAAATTAGGTAGAAATGGTACAGTAAATGATTAAGTAAACCGTACAATGTACATTAGTTGGGTTGAATTAGTTGAATTAACTGAATCCACTTCTGTTTTTTTGCCTAGATACTCATTATTTTGAGAAAAGATCGTGAAAACCGTGTTTTTGAGATATAATTTGTATGGGCTCACATGAGGGG